ACAGACAGAAACAGGATCCAGTGTTTAGGGGAACAGAAACAGGTGGCAGGTTCCATACTACCAGGCATCATACCGCTCCCAGGAGGTTCAGAGTCTGACTGGGACCAGAAGCATGACCAGGAGCAGAGAGGATCAGGTGCAGATGAGCAGGCTCAGTGGAAGAGGGTAGCCGAGACAGGACGTGGAACCAGAACTTGATGCAGGACTTTAAACTGGTCTCCTCACTGGAGCCGGCTTACTTGGATAAAAACTGAACCTCCCCACATACAGAGCCAAAAACCCAGAGGACTCCGCGGGGGAGGAACAGTAGACGATCAGGAGACGAGACAAACACAAAAACCCTCTTTCCACTGGCTGCCAGGATCCAGGACATGAACCAAGGAATCAAACTAACAGACAGGCTAACAGAAAACAGTTAATGATCTGGCCCTGAATGCTCAGGTTGAACTGAATATAACCAAGAGGAAACAGGTGAGAGGAATAAATTATAATTGAGGCAGGGAGGGAAAACGACAGGTGAAAGGAATGACTAATTAAGGGAGAGCAAACAGGCCAGATAATCAAGGTATAGTGGAGGATGTTCTTGTTCCTAGTGGATCATCAAAATAGGTGGTCTTCCTAATTGTCAATCATTCTGGTGATATGGTTACATAAGGCCGTCCTACGTGCCTGTCCCCATTTTCACTTTTCATCATACAATAATGTTTTTTTTGTTATGTTTTATGGACTTTTCATACTTAAAATAATTTTATAATATGGGTTACTTCAAAGAGGGGCTCCTTTTGTACCTCGTTTGCCGCCTTATGTAAATTTTCTAACTCCAGATTGTGTATAAAATACACAGCTATGGTACAGTGAATAAAATCTATTTTAGAATCCGCTCTTACAGCGAGAACTTATTACTTATCTGCTCTTTTCTATTTTTGCATTGAAAAGTATTCCACCTCCTCTGGTGTTTGGTTACCATTTGATCTCACCGTCCTCAAACACCCAGCTGGCATCGACAACCTTAAACCTGGTCCCTCAGAGCTGAGGATTACATCAGCTCTATCTCTCCATGACTCTGCCCTTTGACCACACTTGGCAGGTTTTCAATTAAAACAGAAAAGTTTAGCTGCACGCCGTTCGCTGCAGGTACACCTGTACAACCTTTTTTGGGAGGGGTCGGTGTAATTCTAAAGCCGTCCTTGTCATTTTCTCTGTCGGCCATGTGAGACTCCCTTTTTGGATGGATGATATTTGCAGTAAGATTCAACACATTGCTCTGATTAAACCCAACTCTTATGATGAAATGCATCAGAATTAATCTGAGGGCTGCAAATTAATTTCAAGAGAATTTATTTAGGTAAACAGAAAAAAAGGAGATTTAGGATATAAAACATGTGCAGCTACAGAAATAAAACTCTAAAAAAAACAGCTGATAAAAACAATATGATAATGTATGAATTTCAGTAAATTCCATACTTACAGAATCCTCCTCATCATACATAACTCAATCCTTCAAATTGTTGCCTCATATCTGCGTGTGGCCCACGCTGAGCCATTCACAGGCCTGCTTTTTCAACTAAGAGGCGGGGCATCACTGAGCACTATAAATAATGCATGTAAAGATGTTTTTTTCTCACAACGTGGACAAACCCACTCCACAGTGGAGGAGAACTCGTAAATCAAACTTACCCGGCAGGCTCACCATGCTCCCGCTGCTGCTGCACACTCCTCTTCTGCTCATCTGGCTGCTCCTGCTCCTCCCTGCCTCAGGGGGAAGCCAGCCTGCAGCAGCCCAACAGGGCCCACCGACACCCCTGATCCTGGAGGCGGTGAAGAAGGGGATCCTCAGCAATCTGGGATTGGAGAGAGAACCGAGGCCTGCCATAAAAGCCTCCCAGAAGGAGCTGAAGAAGATGTTCAAGCTCTACAGGGAGGAACTGAGCCAGATGAGAAAAAACTCCAGCCGGTCAAAGAGGGAGAGCAGCATATCCACTGTGCTCTTTCCAGGTATAGATGAGACGTTTGCTGGAACATTAAACATAACAAATAAAGTTTACCTGAAGTCAAAGGTCTGGAGGGCTGGGGGGGGGGGGTTGTTTGAGCTAAATTAGGAAAAAACAGTAGATGATTAATGGGCTGAAGAACTGCCATGTCATGCAACGTAAAATCTGATTGTTTAAAATGAATGTTTAGAGCATTTAATGCAGATTTGTGAAGAAATGGAAAGCAGCAAACAGACGCATTCCTCTGAGCTTTTAGAAATCACGGGCGTGAAAGGCACACCTGGAATACTATGTTACCCTTTGACACATTTCCAATCAGGTCACGAGGACTTTCTAAAACTTTTTTTTTCTTCTCGGAAATGTGACTGTGGATGTCTTCTCCTTTTATGGATTAATTTTCCTGTTGTTCTTGTTTACAGTGGAGCCTGTACAGGTGAGACGGAGGGGCGATGAGCGACGCATTCTTTGGTACCGCGCCGTTTTCCAAAAGGTCCGAAAAATTCACCCTGAACTGAATTTGGATCGAGCTCTGGTGAGAGTGTCCAAGCAAGGCGCTGGAAGATATGTGAGTGTGAAAATCAACGGGATGAAGCCGACATACTCTGCTAAGTGGCCCCATCAAGACTCAGGGGCCCGAAGCCATGTCTCCACCACCCAGGATGTGACCTTAGACATCACCCCTGAGGCAAAGAGGAACTGGACTGATGACAAACCACTGGTTGTAGACGTACGGATGGAAACAGAAAAGTCCGACTTAAACCCAGTTATCACTTTGGAAGTGGACCAGAAGGAGTCTATCGCTGCTCGCAGGGTGAGGCATCGCCGCTCCAACAAGGAAGATAACTGTGATGAGCAAGGGCTGTGCTGCCGGAAGTCTGTGACGGTGTCCTTTAAAGACATCGGCTGGACAGACTGGGTGGTGGCACCAGCTGAGTACACAATGCATTTCTGCGACGGCACCTGTCCGCACAACTACAAGCCGGCCAGCATGCACACGCAGGTGAAGTCCCGCCTCCACCTGATCACCAAGGGGGGGATGCCGCGGCCCTGCTGCGTGCCGGCGGCCTACGAGCCCATGGTGCTGATGCACTACGACAGCCGGGGGAAGCTGAAGCTGACGGCCTTCCATGACTTCATCGTCACCAAATGTCACTGCGCCTGATGGCGGGAAAACATGAAAAAGACTTTATTGATCCATCCATCATGGCATTTAATCAAACACTACGAGAAAATCTTAGTTCTTATAAACGTGGTTTTCATTACTTTATGTTAAAACTTGACGAAATAAAAGTGCATATATTCACTACATATGAAACAAAGCTTAGTTTAACTAAAAAAAAAAGTAAAAAACATGGGTATTTATTTAATGTTTATTTATTGTTTGTAGTATTTTATCACTGTTGTGCTGTTACCCTATTTTCTATTGATTTTAATTGCACTGAAATGTTTTATTTTATGCGACTTTGATATTCTTAGCGTTGTCTTACACATTTCTGAAATAAAAATAAATAAATCTTTTTTTATATTAAAAACTGAAGTCTTTTGTGAAGTTGTATGGAGTAAATATTGCTCCACTATTTTTGCAAAAAAAAATGAATGTTTTGTAAATGGAAATAAGAAAGTTATTAATTAAAAAAAGGTTTTGGAAAGTAACTTTTTTTGTTTGTTTTCTTCTTTTCAGATTTCATTTTTATGTTTTATAGCTCTACAGATTGTATATTTTCAAATTTAAGTTTTATTTTTTTAAATTTCTCAAATCGAGCTTCACAAAGTGCACTATTTTCAAATTTTTTTCCTACAGATCACAAACTCTATATTCCTCTGCAGCAGAGGTGTCAAGTAACGAAGTACAAATACTTTGTTACTGTACTTAAGTACACCTTTTTAGATATCTATACTTTACTCCATTATTATTCTTCCTACTTCTGACTTCTACTCATTACATTTTCACAAAAGTATCTGTACTTTCTATTCCTTACATTTTTAAAACAAACGTCACTCGTTACTCTTGGTTTCGGTTTAATGTTTCTAAATATTTATT